GGAGTGAGAGGGAGTGAGTGAGTTTGCCGTCAGTAGTTACTGACACAAGTAGGGACTGGCAGGTCCCTACTGGTCGAAAATGGAGGGAAGAGAAAATAAAAGACAAAAGAAAAGAAAAAAAAAACAAAAATGTCACTAACGGCCACTTGGGGAGATACATCCGTGACCAGATACATCCTGGGATATTGTGGTTGCAAAGTATCTTAATTTTCTCTTGATTTTGCAAGGAAAATCATGAAAAATCAAGGCCTAATGCAACCGAGATACAACGGATTGCATGAGGGAAGGGAAATACATGTTTCATGTGCATCCAGAGCCAACAATGAGTCCGGATGCACTTGGAAGTTGGTCGTGTGGTTTTGTTTCTGTTTGGGGCAAGTTGTGGGGCAATAGGGCTAGGAAAATGACCACTATAGCAGTCCAAGAAACAGTGGACTGCATGGGGGTGCCTAGGCCAAGAGAAAAAGGGCCTTGACACACCCAAGACACTAGAAAAAAGTGTCTTGGGTTTGGGCAAATGGAGACGGTAAATGGTGGTCGCGAGATGATGAATCTCACGGCCAGGAATATTCACGGCACTTGAGGCCATGAGAGGGAGAGATTGGGACTGTTGGGGACAAGGAAACCCTAAATAAAAAAAATGGAACATCACCGGAAACAGTGTCGGGAACTAGATGAGCCCAAATAAAAACTATTGAAAATTGGGACATACGTCGGCGGGACCGCCACCGGGACTAGAAGATGGAACTAGCATGAGAGAATGGTGGGGACTTAAGTTGTCCCAAAGGAACCATGAGTCAGCAAAGGGGATGGACATGCAAAGCAAGTGGAGCCGTCAAGATCAAGATCTTGACAGTTGGTGCAAAAACTAAATGAGCCAAGAGAGAGGGTGTTAGGAGGCAAAAAGGACAGGAAAAGGGTGAGGGATGGACTGCCCAGCAGTCTGAGATATCTCAGACTAGCAAGGCAAAAAAAATAATGGAGCCCGAAGGGGCTCGATGCAAGAAATAAGCTGCCAAGCAAAAATCGGAGGAAAGATGGGCTCAAAATTGAAAAAACGGATACAAAATGGAGCCTCCATGAGTGTGAGTGTGGGGGATTCATTATTGTAATTCGAGATGTTACGACCAACTGTTGGGTGTGAATCTGGGCATGAATAAGGATCAAAGGCATATAAAGAGAATTCAAAGCAGCTTGACCTTTGTCACAACAAAAAGAAAAGAATAGAAAAGAAAAAAGGGAGAAAAAGGAGGGATATTAGACAGTCGTGGAGGGTAATCCGGATTGCAGAGATGAAGCCCTTGGGGAATGATCTCAGCAATATCTTAATTAAAAATGATAAAAATGAGAGAAAAAACAAAAAGGAGTTGACCGTTTTTATTCTGGACTATGGATCTAAAATCAGATCTCATTGAGGAGAGCATATGGCCGTTTTTTGTTGGGCCATCTCAAACGGCCAACTCTGGAATGAGTTGGCAGCCCAAAATGGAAAGAAACAAAA